CGATACCAAATATACTGAGTTTAACGAGTAAGGCAGGTTAACGATTCTGAAGTGGTGAGAATTTGGTATTAAATGCACATTGCATACCTGTCAAGTAATGGCAGGATTCGTAAGATAAAAGCCACAATAAGACCCAGATGGCAGGTTTCTCTTCAACTTTTCGGGTTCAGCGTTTCATACATATAGTATATGGAGTTTATTACCCAGAAAGCTCAATTATCAGGCGCAGGGATATTTCAGTCATCTGGTGTACTCTATGCCCACTATCTGTCTATATATTTAGGGAAACATGTCATGAGAGAAATATAAAAGCTGTAATTGCTGTCCTGAAAATGATAGTTGCCTGGCTATCATGCTGATTCTCTTGCTTGAACGTCGATCATATATGGATAACGGGATCTGACTTTTCTTATCTGAACCAATTAACAGCATTGACATTAAAGTGTAAGGTTACCCTCCAGACAATTCTCATTTTTAGAAGATCGGCAATGGAACCACCTTATTTCTTTCATGATTTTTTTTTGAAAGGATGAGCCCCACTGCTACTTTATTCTTATTGTGACTCTTTAGTAAAGGGGAGCATGACCTTCACCCCATTACTCCATAGATCTCGCTAGGGACCGAACCATATTGACGCAGTGGTGCTCAAAGAGTACCAGAGTATTTGTATGGTTGAGTCACAATCATAGATTTTACCAGCAAGTGGCTGCACAAAGAAATAAAATACAGATCCGTGACTGCATAGCTTCTATACTGCTGCTATTCATAATGTAATTATTGTGCATGATTATTTCAGGACAGGGTTGCCCAAACTGGTCTTTGGGAACTACTAACAGTGCAGGTTTTCTGGTTCCCTTCACAGAGAAACTGGTGAAATAATGACTAATTAACAAACCAGTGCTCCTACTGGGAAGTGTAGAAATCATGAACTGTTAGCTGCCTCTGAGGACACATTACTTGTTTATTATATCATGATGTCATCCATTATTCAAGAAGAGTAGCAGTAGTTTTGGAAGGTTTCCAGATAACAGATCCCATTTTTTACACATACATACATAATTAGGAGGGGGAGCAGTCTAGCTGCTGATTGGCTATGGTGTATTAGAACATGTTAAGTACAAGTAACCCTCTCAGAGTCAGAATGACCTTGCTTGTGCTCTGAGAGGGTATCCTTCAAACAGGTCTGTTACATTTCGGTATATTTTAAGGATAGGTGCACCTAATACACACTTTTTTGGGGATTATATAGGTAATATATGTACCATATAAGTCCCGGTATAGAATTGATTGGTCTGTGATTTGCCCTTTGTAACCAAGCCCCGGCGTTCATCAGGGGACCAGATCCTTGATAAGCTGGCACACAAGGAGTAAAGGTCAAGGCAGAGGTGAGAACACAGACAGTGTACCTTGGGCTTCGGTACCACTGGCCACTTCCACATCTCCATGCTTTCTTACCCCGACCCTTATGTACTAAATGGATTGTGATGTGTTTTACAGCTGCACCTATCCTTTAACCAATACACCACCTTTGGATGGAGTCAGTGTTGGATTTACATGTGTAAATCTTACTCTTCTCTTGCCCCCTATTACCACGATCCTTTCAATTCGGAGTCTAGCTTTGAGCAGATCAGCATCCAGTCCATTCTGTATGGTATGTTCTCCCAGATGAAGTCAAGGAGGATATCCTCTCCTCTTACTTACACTGTGTAATAGGTGAAGGTGAACACAGTGAGATATTGAGATTGGCAGATTGTGCCAACAAGTAAACAGCCACAGTTCCTAACCCTCTGCCTTCCAAAAGCTTTGGGTGGAGTCCTTCTATAACTAAACGAAAACACATAAGCGCACAACTGATAGTTGGTTACTGGAAAAAACACGGGCTATGAATTATGGTGTGCAGGCTCTCACTAGCAGGGAGAGGACCCTGCAAATTCGAATGGTAAACAGAAAAACACAAGAAAGAGCGCTACTACCTGATATTGAATGGCATCTAAGAGGTTGTGCCTCTTTGCCCTAAGACTTGACAAAGAGGTTGTGCCTCGAAACGCGTACAGCGAGCCCGTCTGTGCACAGCGTCTACTTTGCCCATCGATTTGACTCCACTACACACGCACCGAACACAGCCGCTCGCGGTCCCGGTTCCACAACCGCCGCGGTCCTTCCCCCCTCAGCCGCCGTGGCCCGGCCTGGCCAGCCGTGCACGCGTGCCGCTAGGTAACTTCACAGCGCTCCCTCATCCATCCAGTGCTGCAGTATTTTGTTCTTGGACTTCCTCTGTACACCGTTCCTTGTTTCACCATCCTCGACACATTTGCAGACTTCCAACTGTAAGTCATATATATTTGTTCCTTCTCTCATGAATAGATGCCATTCAATATCAGGTAGTAGCGCTCTTTCTTGTGTTTTTCTGTTTGTCCTTCTATAACTAATGACATTGACTAACAAGGGCCCAGATTCCTAATCTTAAGATAATGTTAACAACATAATAATATGTTACTACAAATAATATTAACATTACTAATGTAATAATATGTTACTTTACTTCTTTCTCGTTTGAAAAAAGTAAGGAGAGGACATTTGCCGAGGGCTCCTAGGTAGACAAATAGAAAATGACTGCAGAAATACAACAAAACTGCAAAGATAGTTATCTTTTAGAAATGCTAAAATAAGGCCGACACTGACAGACAATACTGTTCGTATGAAAAGAATGCTAACAACATTTCTCAGCAACCCATCGACGTCCATTTGAAAATGAAAGGAGGATTCTGATTGGTTGCTATGGTTTTCTTGTTGGCACATTTTCATACATAAGACCATTTGTAAGCTGATCAATTACCGCCTTTCAGGTCTTGTCTGTTCTATTCTGTTTCCTGACATGGCACATGCGTTTTTTTGTTCCTCTAGAAATATGAAGTGTAACGTCACTAATACCACACTTCCTTTTTCAATCAAACGTCCTGAAGTTTCTTCGAAGCTAATGGTGTCTCATTTGCTCATGTATAGTACATATGCCTTGTGCAACTTACAGACATACATTTTATCAGCTTTCTATAAAGGTATCTTGGTGCCACCTTCAGCCCCAGACATGGGAAAACATGCCTGAGCCATGGGTAGCAGGATTTTAGAAGGGTGGCAGACATCTACTCCATTATATTTGGACATTTTTATGTCAGTTATTTATATCTGATGTGTTGTATAATGGCTAAATTATATGCAGCTATAAAGATCAGTGCTCATAAGGTGCAGCCTCAAAAGTTGCCTCGGGGAGCATATAACTAAAATGTGACCCTGGCCACCCAATCTTCTCATAATTCCAATGATTACATTGAATATTCCTGACAAGGAAGGAAACTGCAGGGGGCTTTCATTTAATAACTTGGTGTAAAGAGCAATGAAGTGCAGTAACACAGCATCTAGTAAGAAATATTCTTTAATTAGTCTCACTACACTAAAGGCTGGCCCATTGTGAGGAAACCATTTTACATCTACTTGGGCAAGAACATATCCTGTGTATAGAACAAAGAGTGTTGTTGTGGCCAAAATTATCAAGTCACAGTATTGGGTCAACTGGGCTTATTCAAAAAGGGAAGGGGCAATGTACAAAGTAAAATAACCCAATACGACCAGAATAAATCCTTCACTGACTCGACAACAACTGAAATCTGATTGGTTGTCATATGCTGTTACACGCTACTATTGCTCTATGCGGTGCCCTATTAGTGTATGTAGACTAATAATGATTCTAATAATGTATGCAATATATTCAAAATTGTTGTCACTGTGGCCCTGCAAGCCATTAGTTTTGCTAGATTGCCAATTTACTACATCCTACAAATGACAAAGACTGGCCATCCAGGTCAGTGTTTTTGCTGCTGAATGTAGGCACATTATTATTATTCATAACACAGGATTTATATATTGCCAACAGTTTGCGCAGTGCTTTACAAAATGGAGGGAGACAATACAGTTGACAATACCATTTCAATACAGGAGGGTTAGGAGGGCCCTGTTACTTTCCTACACCCTGTGCTGCCCCCTGCTGGTAAGCCCTTGCAATCGCAGCCATTTTTTTTGCTAATTTGGTTGCTGGGGAAAGGGCTGGGATGCAAAATCTGCCTATTAATACTTGTAGGGGGCAGCTGGGGACATCTCTCGGTGTATAACCAGCCCAAGCTGTTGGCTATAGCACTTCATTGCTCTCTGTACAATGGTATTATATGAAGCTGTAAATATTACTTGTAACTATATAGAGAATAAACAGTCATTAACTAGATGCGGCAGTGTGCTGAACCCTCCTCACTCATTATGATTAAACTAGGCCAATGTTCCTGAACTTATTAGTATCTCCCTACATTTAGAAAAAAAAAAAAAGTTTGTTCAGTGCCATGATCTCTTCCCATTCACATAACACTGTCACATCTAAACACCACAACATACACCTTGGGAGAGAGGGAATCTGCATTTCCCCCAAAGAACATAATTCTTCATATTACTATTGTAGCACCTTATTAAATTAATGAAAATGGGTCTTGTGACTTAATGTGTGCAAAGTACAAAAAGGACATTTTTAAGAAGTACCTATTGCCCATACAAAAGGGGAGAAGCCATTCTGTAGGTTGTCCAAGAATGAAGCTCGTCACTGAATGAAGCTTCCCGGGGACAGGAGTCAGTGGCATGAAGCTATATCGCTGTGGCTTGAGGCACTTAATGCTTCAGACCGCAGCAATGTCACTAGTTATCACTAACCTGACACAATAATGCTGATTCCGCTCTGTATGGGAGACAGGTACACTTTGCAAGACAGACAACTCCAAACAAATGGAATTCTTTGATTAAAGCATGCGCAGAAACTTAGGTTTCATGGGATTTTTGAGCTCTTCCCCTGAAATACATTGGAAAGGAAAAAAACAAAACAAAAAAACCCAGAAAAAATGAAAAGGTGGCTATTGTGAAATTCTCATCTGCTGGTGAGGGTTTCTTGGCACAGATGTCTTCAGCTTTTATTGCTGCATTTTCCTGATAATCTCTGCAGAGACGGGAGGATGAAAATTGATTGTGTGGTGACGGAGACCCTGAGCTGTCTTGTAACTCTTCCCGCAGCGGCATTTGAAGGGTTTACGAACTCGTATTTGTGTTCGGTGGCCATTCTTGGCGTGGTACTTAATACCATTTACATTCTGTGTGAGAAAAGAAGTGTTAGTTAGAACATGACTGCAGAGGCTAAATCATCCTAACCCGACCATCTGACCTACATCTTATTACTGCTTAACCACAGCCTAGCAAAGAATCTGCCTCAATTTTACATACCGCTCATGTATAACATCAATACTGAACTCTAGGCAGATATAAAAGACATACATGAATGATGCTCTGTGATTATGAATACGTCATAGATGTTATTTTAATGCAGGTAGTGTAAGTATCTAAATATGATTTGATATCAGCCTCTTGCAGTCCCTGTATTGTAGAGCTCAGACTGAGAAAGGGAGTAGCAGGAGAAGGAGTTGGTCAGTTGTGCTTCAGTCCTCACGGACTAACAAGAGACATGCTGATAGAAAAGAGCAAAGTGAAAGAGAGATGAGCTCCTTTCACTATCCAGTCACAGGCTGCGGACGGGGAGGAGACCTGACCTTTTAGACCATATTTCATGTTATATACATATTTGGGGTGTATCCTGCATGGTCACATACAGCATCCCCCTAACTGCCCCCCCCAAAAATAAAAAATAAATTGCGGGGTAAATCTTCTAACAGCATTCTGTTGTTATTTGAATTTAGTGCAACTGTCCATGGCTCCTCCCATACAGCGACATCATCCATTTACAAGGGTCGATAAATGAAAATACTACCATGGCAGAGGGACTCCGCAGGGCACATTTCCAGCAGGACGGTGATTTCACCACAATTGTAGTCCACTGACAACTTCCTCCAGCCCCATAACAGAAGGTCTGTACCTCTGTACAAACCTGGGGCTGGGGGTAAGCAATGCAAGAACTTGTGCATTGCACATGTGACATACTGATTGCGACTGCCATGCTCTTCAAGCCTAAATGCAAACATTTTATAAATGCACATTTTGTTTTATCATTGTTGGTGCATTTATTATATTTTTCCAAAAGGTGAACTATGCTTTTAACTGTAGCAGAGGAAAATCAAAGTGCAACTGTGCTTTAGGTAAGACAAACTAAGGACAAAAATATACACATCTTAATGCCGAACTCCAGGAATGATAATTTACACGCCACACTAGGTATTTTAAATTATCACTAAAAGTTGTATGTCATGTGTGGAGGGCTGCTGTAAAGTATGAAAATCTTACTATGCAGCATGTCTTCTACACATAGCACCGAGCTTCCAAGCACTGCAGGGAGTGAGAGATGCGACTCGAGCAGTGAAGTGCTCCGGTCACATTATCTGTTCCTCCTCATTATCTGCCCATTCATACAGTGCCTTGTATTTGTTTCAAAGAATACAAGGCATTCTGTGATTTAAAGAGAAGAGATAATGTCACATACCCACCCCTCCTCTCCAATCACAGAACACCTTGTATACTTTAAAATAAATACAAGGCTTGTTGTGAATGGGTAAGTAGTGAGGAGGCGTGGGTGATGTGACCAGAGCACTTCTCGAGTCACATCCCTCACCCCCAATGCTCCCGGAAGCCCAGCATTATGTGCAGGAGAACACATGTTGCAAGTTGAGTTTTTTTTATACTTTGCAGCAACTCTCTACACAAAACCTGCAACTTTAGTGATCATTTAAACACCCAGGGCTGTGTGTAAATTATAATTTTTTTCCTGGAGTTTGACTTGAAAAACATGCAGAAATTAAAGTAAAGAGTATAGAGGCCTATAGTGACCAAATGACAAGGTGAGCCATGTAGTATGAGGAACCCAATAACATTAACTTGATCCAGTGGCCTTGTCTCACTACCAACTGGAGGAAATGAAAACAGGAGGAGATGCACACAACAACCAATGAGATGCTGGTTTTATATTATTACATTATCTTACGCATGGTCTACTTTAACTATACCAGTGCTTTATCCTGCCCTATAACATATGTATATGAGGTTTGTTTCATTCGGTAATTCCTTATTTGAAGAATCGGGGAAACAGACACCACACATGGTAACAGTGACACATTTGACTAAAGGCATTAGACTGGAATACATCACAATATTAGGATGATGAACCTTATGCAATAAAGTGATGACCAGTAAAACTTTTATATTTCATTTATCCGTGGATAAAGGGAATCGGAATACGGAGAAGGCTTCCTCTCTCTCCTGTAGAGGGTGGGTGGAGCTTTATCTAATTGGGTATAGAAAATGGCAAAGATGTTGGGAGTGAGGTGGTGCAATGCATATGAATGCATGTGAGGTTACTGTAATAAGTAATCAGCAGGCAGTCACATTCAAGTTATCAGAGACATAACTGAACAAGGTTTTTTTCAAGACTTTGCTGAGAAAAACATCAGAGTTTTGCTTGGCTTGTTTGCTGAGCTGACAAACACGGCTCCCACGTCCTAGAACCCAGGTAAAGGTGAACCTGGTCTGTTTGTCTTCAAGAGCTATAAAGAGAGCCAACCTTCAGGTAAACGTATCTTCAGAAATGCTGACATGTGAAAACTCTATAATCATGTTGTTCAGTGGAGGAGTGTACTTGGTAACCCTTGCAGTGGGGCAACCCTCGTCCAGCAGGGAATAAGTGCTCATTTTGGTCTAGGGAGGAAAATAACTGCAATCCCCTGAGCCAGCTGGCTATGATAGTGCTCCCTCCTACCTGTCCCCTCCTATGCTGCAGTGATGGAATCTCTCTTGGTGTCCTCTCATCTTATGCACAGTGTATAGAAGGTGATGAGTTATGCGACCTTAGACCGCTGCAGCGGAGGGAGAGAGAGGCACCAGGTACACGTCTAAGAGCAAGGATCAGGTGAGTATAAATGGAATTACGTCCTCCAATCGGGCCCCCTCTCCCCCCTCTAAGAGCAAGGATCAGGTGAGTATAAATTTGTTACACGGGCACTTAACCGTTGCAGTGTGGGGGTAGCCCCTCTGCAAGGGTTACTAAAAATTTTACTTGGAGCCTGCTTTAAACTGCTCGGCCACCTGCAGCACCATCCTCATCATGAGCACAAGCTGATTTTTACTAGCAATGGTGCTACCGGCCCCCACTACCCTACTCCTCAGACAGGGCAATCAGTCTTCACAATATACTGCATATATTCTAACATTTTGTAAAACCCCTGCTACACCAGGGAAGTGGCACTGGATAGATATGGCTATGCTTATAGTGCAGAATTGCACAAAGCATCTTTTAGCAAATAAGCACCGAGAACTCAATTCTTTAAACTGTAAAATCCCTCCTTTGAAACATTAGACACTGGCAATCATTAACATGTTTCCCTCAACATTAATCAGATGTTTATTTTTACTGCACCCACTACATTCATTTTTGCTTCTCTCTGACACATCCCGTGGCTCTAATCTTCTAGACCGCGTATTAAGGAAATGCTGGTATGAATTCTCTGCATAAGATGTGTGGACAAGAGAGTTTTTACAACATGAAACAAACAAATAAAAATCATCTTCCACTTATATAAAAAGAACAGAATGTTCTGTTAATGTGACATGATGAGCAGTAAACTCTGCAGATCATAAATACCACCCGCTTGTTAAGTCCGTGCAGCTGCACTGATCACTGAAGACAAATATATTGCTGTTCTTATCGCTTGCGGCTTCTGCACCAAAGACGGGTATTCAGCAAAAATAAATGAGTTTGTAAAAGCGGCTTCCTGCCCACATACCTGACACCATAAAGAGCTCACACCTGACTCAAAAATCATATGAGACGTGTGAGACAGAACCAGTCTAAAGGTGGCCATACACTTTACAACCATCGCAAGACCTTAGTCTTGCGATGGTTGTAAAGTAATTAAAAAAACGTACAATCTGCCCATCTTGGACAGGCAGATCGTACTTGCGATCATCGCAAGCGGGCGGGCTTCCGATGACCGCAATGCTGAACGGGCAGTGTGTGCGTGTGCACACCGGCCCGTGCGGCATTGATCTTACGATTTCAGCTGGTTTTCTAGCATGCTCCTTAGACAAAAGACGTGTGACCGTACAGTAAAAACGGTTGCACGCCTTCCATACACTTTGCGATTATCGTACGATCGTGGGATTTCCCGCGATTATCAAGCGATAATCGCACAGTGTATGGGCACCTTAATGTAGCTGCTGTTACCTTCCTAAGAACACAGAACGTAATGCACTGAAAATGACATTTAGTAGTTGTTGTCTTGTTTCCACTTTCATTCGTATTAAAGCTGAACTCCAGACAAACAGCTAAATATAAAACTGAAATACATACATGAAAACTATTTCACCTGCCAAAGTCTTTCTGTTCATACATTCCTAAGATTTACACAGCCCTGCCACAAAACACAGCCAGGTCAGCAGTGACCTAACTTTTCTTTACTGCACATAAGCAATAGGGCTAGGTCAACTTCCCACCCCCCAGCCTGTGATAGGACAGTGAGGAAACATTAGCAGACTGAATTTGGGTAAATTGAATAACCTCCTACGATCTAGACCCCTCTCCCCCCTCCTTGCTAAAAAGCGCTTCCCATTGGTCAACGCGGTCAGGTCAAGGGAGAGGGGGACAGATTGGAAGGGGTAATTCCATTTTCCCAAATTCACCTGTGAAAGTGGAATTACCCTTTAAAGGCTAATTCCACCTTTTGGACCATGTTATACATGATACTAGTTGGCAAAACATGCCCCCCAGCCCCCCATTCCCATTCTGCCAGCCCTTACTGAATCATGGGGATTCAGAGGACAGCCCTGCCCACACAGCCACATCATTGGTTTACAAATCAATTTGCAGGATCTGTGAATGAAAAGATGTCCCAACTGTTACCGCAGCAGAGGGACTCGTAGATCTCAGTCACCACTGTCGTACTACATTGATAACTCCGTCCAGCCCGTAAGTGAAAGTCTGCACCATTGTACCAAACTGGAGCGGGGGGAGTAGTTGGCAGGAGCTTGTCCAATGACCGCAGTTGCAGTGCTCTGCAGGCTTCAATGTAAAAAATAAATGTGGGTGCATTTATTGATTTTTTTTCCAAAGTTGGAATTAACCTTTAACTTACAAGCTGCATACTAGCTCCAATTC